GTTATTTGGTGTCGACTTCCGTCTGACCTTCAACGCTGACCTTATCTATGATGACCTATTATGACCTTATCTATCACTATGTCAGTGGGTCTTGTTCCAATCCTAAATTTATTGTCTTATTATCTAACAGACTGCCTAAAAGGCTAGGCATCTATTATGCACATAACTATTCATCATTGCAAAGCAGTGATGTTTAACAATGATGACTCATCTCATGGCTTCAAAGACCGAAAATATCATTGATTTACCTACGTTCCAAAATGGCGGCCGTGCATGACGCACTACCTATTCTAATGTAGCGACACAGGCACACTGATCACAGATTTCCTTGCCTGCAACTCGCTCTTCGCGGCGTACCTAGGGGAAGCGTCACAACTGCAGCCGGCATTTACTTTAGATGATGGCTCGACACACTTCGCACTGGCCGAGGTGTCCATCGGCGCTCGCGTTTATCCCGATACCTCTGGTGTGAGGTGGTGAATAAAAGAGTTAACATATGCAGTAGTAAGCCAGGGAGGGAGAGCAAACAAAAACCTGAGCGATCCCTAGAGATGACTTCAAAGACGAGCATGGGGGGGATCCAGCCGGGGTCACGGAGCCATAACTGCAGTTTGGGCCGCGAAGGGACCCATAGCCGGCCGAACAGCCGCAATTTTATTTTTTGGAAACACAAAACGTGACATAAATGGCGGCTTTGGACCCCAAGCGACCAAGAACAGCCGCAGGCGAAAGTGACGAGCCCACGAACGGATCAAAATAGTTCTTGTCCCATTAAGAGAGTAGTGGCTGGCGAGATTTTACCGCTCATTTTGCTGTCCAGAGGCCCTACACCAGTGGCAAAGGCCGTTCATGTCCACTTGCAGAATCAATCCGGCTGCTGAGTAGCCTTCCAACTGCTCTCGATTTTGTACATTTACTGAAAGGCCCTACGCCGTCATCGGGGTTCTATCTGCTAGCATACCGGTGCTGTCTTGTCGATCAGGGATCCTCTACTGACCCTTCCTATTCGTCCGAAAGGCTATATGCTATTGCCGGCGCTCCACAGTTTTAGCTGCCGGGCTGTTTTCGGTTGTTCAGAAGCTCTTCACAATGGTCTCGGTTAGCCTACCGGCACACTCGCGATATGCTCATGGGCCCTCTTCATTGGTACACGGCCCTTCCAATTTCCTGTCACTTGCGGAAGGCCCGTCGCTCCTGTTGGGGATCCCATCTGTTAACGGTTTTTTCCACATTTCTATGGGGTTTTGAACTGGAAAAGCCCCCTTGAAGATCATTCGGAGCAGTTCACAGCCCTGTCCTTTGTAATACCTAATCCCCGCTAGCTTCTAAGCTATACGCCCGCGAAGATGGGGGGACTTTTTCGGGGAGAGTATTTAAAGGTCGCATCGGTATTCATGCCGTCATAACAACGTCCTTCAAATCTTGCCGTTCCATAAGGCACGCGACGATCAAGGCTAGGCAAAATATAATGGTCGAGTCGTTCATATCTGGTGTTCGCTAGCATGATTTCCAGATATAACGGCCATCAATTGGCTCTCAATCAGTATTGTGCAAGGAACGATGGCGTAATCATACAGTGACGTATCAAGGAGGATATTTAATAAACAGCGACATTGTGTTATCTACATCATTCTTTCCCACTTCAGAGTAAGCCAATAGTCACAAGTGAGCTCTTTTCATCATAGGTGATGCTCTTCTCCATACCTCCAAATTGCAATGGCCGAAGGGGATGCGGGATGTGGAATGCGAATGGGATGAGGATGTGATGTGGCCCAATGGGTATGTGGCACATTCCCTTTAACCTGTCAGGGTACTCTCGGCTGCTCAGGGGACCTTCAAATCGGTCTCAGGTTCTTTCTACTTGCTCGAAGGACTCTGCGCTGTTGCTGGACTCATATGAGTTAACCGAGGCCTACTGAGGCATTCTGGGCCCTCTACATGGATTTAGGGCTATTTCCCCTATAATTCATTGGCGGAGGACCCTTTGCTCTTGTCGGGGCCTTTTCTGTTAACCTCCCCGGGCAATCTTAGTCGCGCAGGGACTTGCTACATTGGCCTTAGAACATCACGCTTGCTCAAAGGACCCTAAGCTCTCGTCCGGGGCCCCATGGATTCATCTGGCCGGGCACTCCTGATCGCTCAAGGCCATCGATTCATGAACACTTGTCTTGGTTATTCCGGCTTTGTCAAAGGGCCCCGCGCTCTGGCCGGGGCCCTATAAGCTAACCTCCCGGTGCACTCCCGATGGTTCAGGGGCCCACCATATTGTTCTCGGACTCTTTCCGCTTGCTCTGAGAACTCTACACTGTTGACGGGTGCCACATTGTTGGCCTGCCGCGGTACCCTCGATCGCTCAGGTGCCTTCCCTAGTGATCTTGCGTTTTATCCATTTCATCAGAGGGCCTCCGCCGTTCAGACAGGAACCTACATGTGAATCAGCTGGAGCCCTCTTGATCGCTCGGGGGGAATTCACATTGGTCGTGGGCTCTATCGATGGAATCAGAAGGATTTTAATCTGTTGCCGAAAGCCTCATGTATGCTCACGAGCGCCAGAGCGTTGCGCCTGCTCGCGTGTGTGGAACTGGCTATACTTCATGTATATAAACCCGAGCTCTACACGCTGGCGATTTCACTTGGTGCCTTAGCCTTAGAACAGCAGTCGCATACGCGGCGATTAATTTTTACTCCCAGTTACTCCAGATAATTAGCTGCGCCGCCGACGTCATACATGCGCCTGTTGGAAATTGAATTTGTGACACTTGTTATACTTGTGCGTCATGACATAACACATTTTGAATGCTAGGATGCCTTGTACACCTTCAAAACAATAAAAAAGCTTAAGTCATCAGCCACCAGCTGATCACATCCGTCCCGATTGCTTAGTTGGGTAGAGTTTGGGTATTGCTAATATATATTGCTTAGTTGGGTATTGCTTAGTCGCTTAGTCTTCCGACCACCCACCCGCGGCGGGATGAGTTCGAGTCGCTTTAGGCGCTCGCTATTCGCCCTTGACAGGTGTGGCCTGCGGCCGGTGGCAGCAGCCGCGCTTAAGGTCTGGTGACGCCAGAGGGTAGGATGGACCATGCCGAACATCGCGTCACCTTGACCCAAACTCTGCCGTTGACTCGGCTTTGCACGATAGCGTGGTAAGGGTCAGTGCGCACACTACAAGCGCTGCGTAGCGTCGGCTTGGATCCCACAAATCCATCCATTCAAAAGGTTCGGATAAAATCTTAAAAATAAATCCGATCGGCTAGCCAGCTAGCTGTAACTTTGCTTGGAATCAACTTTGTGTTCGATTTTAATGGCATTTAGCAGCTAACTTTAGCTCATTTTGCCAGGTATTCCCCGAAATGTCATTACCTCAAAATGACAGGATCCACCACGATCTAGGGAAAATCAGCATGCTCCATGTAAGTACATGCGTAGCATGGCTAGTTTTCTGGGGCTGAGCACGGGAAAAACAGGTTCCTGCGTACCAAATACCATGCATAGGAATCTGAAAATTCGATGCCCGGAATGCCAATATTTTTTTTGGAGAGGCCACAAACTCCAGGGGCACGAATTTTTACGTCCCCCTCTTAATGGAATCCTGGATCCACCACCGAAGTCGAGCGTAGCACCTGTACAGCAATGTATAATGTGATTTTGAAGGAACAATATGGGGTGGTGGGTCATTGTTAAAAACGTCGTGGAGTGATGCATCGGAAAAGTCGAGGTTTTTAAATATTACATAATGTGATTCCCGCGCGCAAACGCGCCGGACTGGCTGGCAGATATGCAGATACTCGCGAATGGATCCAATAAGTCGAGTGCCTCACGTTGGTCGCCAACCATACACGAATTCGAGGTCGACATATCTGCCAAATGCATCTCAATGTTTGTGGTAGACTTTTCATTTCATGCTCGTTATTCAGCTGTAAAATGTTTCGCGATGAACCAGATATCACCGAAGATACATGGCGTGTCGTCATTCATCTGGTGTTCTAATGAAGGATGTGCGCTGTCGACACGCTCTCAGTCTTCGCCAATAGGGTAATCTAACGTCGGCACAAAGTGACGGGTTGTGAACAAAATTTGATGTTAACGTTAACGTTCGTAACATTAATGGTTTGTTTCCATTTGCGTAAGAAAATCCATGAGCCGTCGAAGTACAAAACGCCAGTGCCATGGTTGACAACAGTCGTCGAGAAGGGTGTTCATTGCTGCCAGGTGGATGGCTGTTAAGTAAAATGCGCGAAAGAGCATTCGATAATGCCTTTTGAAGTTTCCCCTCGTTGAAGGTGGTTTGGTCATATGGTTTAGTGTGCCATCCAATGTTAATAAAACGCACACTTCCCCTCCATTGTTTATCGCATCTTTTTCTCGCTCCAGATGTTTGTCTTTTCACCGCCGTGTTTCTTCAAAACGTTTTCTTCAAAACGACTCATACGTTATCAGTTCTGCGATTTAGTTTTCAATTTGCGCAGTACTGATGCGGTGCATTGTAAATTAATGCACACTGTGCACAAGTGGCGGTCCACCCTAAATCGATGAGGTGGCTGCCATAATAGCATCCCAGAGCGGTCAACAGGCTTCATGATGCTGTATTAATTGCACATAATGTATGAAGTGTAAAACAGAATGCGTTAATGGTACTTTAAAACAAATTACGCGCGCCGTGAGTGGATCCCGAGTGGATCACCAACATCAACGAAAGGTGTATCAAATGTCATCGTGACGCATGGTGCGCGAAGCGTCCCTCATGGGGCCTCTTCCACCCATGAAAGGACTCTAGCCCCACGATGGCTTATGTTGTCCTTATTTCCATTCAGTGTAGCCTTACCTGGTGTTAGAGCTCAACTCAGCATTTAGTCATATGCTGGCGGTCTATTCCGTTTGACAAATTTCCTGGCTTGATGAAGAATTTCCTTCATATGGCACTCAAGGGTGAGGCCGATTTGGTGGCAGCCATTTCTCCGCGTCACTCCCGGCGGCGAAGTCCACTCGCGTTTTGTTGCCGCGACGGGGAGGAGCCGAGCGGTCCGCCGGCCGTCCGGTACACGATTTCAGTTCATTTGGCGTGGCAGTGCGTGAGGGAGTGAACGTGTACTGGTGTTGTCTGTTATTTTAAATTAATTTTACTATATTTATAGGTTGGGGGAAAGCTTGTGTTTGCTTAGAGTGAAAAGTAAAGCGGCAAAATGGCGACAGACATTGACCTTAGCGATCCGGATTTGAAATACCTTACCGTTGATAGAAAATCCTTCAACGATCCAGCTGCTCAAGCAGAATGGACCACAAAACGTTTGGTATGGATACCACACGAAACACATGGATTCGTCGCGGCTGGAATCAAAAAGGAGATGGAGAGGGGAGATGAAGTGGAAGTGGAAATCGCCGACACCGGTAAAAAAGTTCTGGTCAACAAAGATGATATCCAAAAGATGAACCCACCGAAGTTCAACAAGGTGGAAGACATGGCAGAGCTGACTTGCCTGAATGAGGCTTCGGTCCTGCACAATCTGAAGGACAGATACTTCTCTGGCTTGATCTATGTAAGTACTCGATGTGAATGTGGCGAATGCGGCGCGATGTCGTTCATCGTATGTGGGCTGATACCCGTTGACCACATGAGACGCCTTTCATAGGATACCACAATTTGTGTGTTTTAAGCAGTCAACCTGTGGTCTGAAGGATTACCTTTCATTTCAAGGTTTCTGTCACTCAAAGTAGCATGCATCAGTAATGACTTGATGGCTGGGTACTGTAGGTATAGCTTGTCAACTAATGATGCAAACTACAGTGTTAGGAATGGATCCACCCTCTGATGTTTCCCAGTTGGATTTTGGGCCTGAAGGCTTATTTTTGAAAGGCATTGGCTAGAATGAATATTTTCTATATTGCAATTTTATGTGGCTTATTCTAATTAACTCCAAATTATTTGGGTATCTTCATGTGGCATAACAATAATTAACAAACAATTCTTGACATTTGTCTCATTTAGTGCTGGCCCTGTGCAAGCCTCTCCATAGGGATGACCACCAAATTGCATGAGACATGCAAGATTTTGATATCAAATATTGTTGATGTGTATTTACATTAGTTATAGTCACTGTTCAAGTGTAATTATGCATGTGTCCAAATTAAAATGTGAATGCCATAGGTAATGTTATCACTGCAGCTATTGCAAGAGCATCAACAACCCATGATTGGCTGATGGCATTAATACTACATGGAGCAGGTCATAGGCACAGTGGATTAAAATATGATGGCCTTGCAATTTAATAGGTCTTATTTCTTACCTGGAGATGCTCTCATATTTCTTTGAGAAATGGTTGCAGTTGAGTTTGGTGTTTCTGATGGTTTTCAACCACAGAATGTCTGTAATATGATTGTTCTCTTCCCAAATTGGAGGTTAAGCCCAGGAAGCTATCCTTTTCATTGGTCAAAGCAGGATTGGATCTGCTCAGCGGTATATCTACATGGCCTGATACTCGCTTATTTGATTTGGCTGCTTGTTATACTGTTCATTGTTTATTTGTATTCAAGCAGTGTGTCTGATTGAGCTAGCAGCTGTGCCATGACATTATTATCATATTTTTCTCAGAGCTGTCACCAGTGTGGTTTAGGACAAGGAACTATTTTCCTAGGGGGTTAAAATGGCCTCTTTTTGCCCCTGGCACAAGGGAAATCATGTGAATTATATTGTTTTGTCTCCAAAATAAATATTTTGCCCTTTCCAGACCAATTCCCCAGAGCAAACCTTCTCCTGTATGAAAGCCTGGTGTTGCTCCTGATTCTGTGCTGTGGTTTGACACTTTATGATGGCTGTTTGATGTCCCCCATATGTACAATTTCAATCACTCCAGTGTTTGCAGTTACTGAAATATATAAATAATTGTGTTCATAAGGTCCCCATAATTATGGTTGCACGCTTTGTTTTCACTGAAGGGTATGACCTGGAGCTTGATGCAGGCAATGACACCTTCATTTTATAGAAACCCATTTATGGTGTGTTAGGAATGAAAGCTTGGCATGTTGGTAAAGGTTCCAAATGTTCCACTATCAGCGCAGGCCATATCTAGCTGGAACATGGTAGCATGTATCATTATGTCACAGATCAAGTGTGCAGTGTATTGCATCCTTGGAAATAGGCATTTGTGGAATGTACACTTTGGTATGTTAGGATTTTTTGCTGGTGCTCATAGTTTTTTCGTTCGCCCGCTACGCTGATTTGCCGGACTTGCATCTGGCTTGGCAGCGGCTCGCGGCTGATACCTGGCAGAGGTTGGTCTCGCTCTGTGAGATCTGTCCCTCATGCACGGACATCTGGCGGGGCAGCGGCTCGCGGTTGATACCTGGCAGAGGTTGGTCCTGTTCTGTGAGATCTGTCCCCCACGCACGGACATTTGGCGGGGCAGCGGCTCGCGGCTGGTACCTGGCAGAGGTTGGTCTCGCTCTGTGAGATCTGTCCCCCGCGCATGGACATCTGGCAGGGCAGCCGAATGCGTTCATAGTTGGTCGTCGCTCGCTGCACAGTCATGCTCACCCGGAGACGCTGGGGCTGATCGATGTGCTTGTCTGCCGCCCCGTACCGGCATCCCGTGGCCTGGCATCGGAACGGAGCCCGGGTGCGGTGCGGCACGGCACGTTTGGTGGTGGCCTGTCGCCCCGCGGAGCGTTCCGCCGGGCCAGGCGATCGGGTCTGTCGTGGCTTGGGGACTGCTGCGGACGGCCGCGCTCCAGCCGTGGCCCGCCGCACGCACGCCGCCACCACGGGATGAGCCGGCTTGCGTGCCGCGCCGCCCGGCCGTATTTGGCGCGCGCATGCCCTCAGAATTCATGTATTCATGGTATCAGTGACCGTGCCGTTTTGGGCCGGCGTGCGGATGATGGTATCGTGGGGCTGGCTCGGCAGAGTCGCACGTGGCCGCACTGCGCCGCGTCGCCGGCCGTGCCGGATGGGCTGCTGCCCGCACGTAACAGGGCGACGGCACCGCCAGCGACGGCCTCCAACCGGCCGGCCAGGCGCTGCCGCTGCCGTCCCAGGGGGCGACGCGTCGCGCGGGGTGCGGTCCGGTGCGATGGTGACGGCCGGGCGGACGGCTCCGTGGAGGGCGGTCACCTCGCGGCCGTGCCGGTCTCGGCTTGAGGACGGTGAGACGCACGTGTTTGGCTCACCTCCGCTGGGCGATCGCGCTTTGGTGGTTTGGGCACCTCGGTCCGGCGCGCTCCGCCGCGCTCCGTCCTGATCGGTCGCCGATGTCCTGGTCCCGCCATCCGATGTCCTGGTCCCGCCATCCGATGTCCTGGTCCCGCCATCGATGTCCTGGTCCTGCCATCCGATGTCCTGGTCCCGCCATGTGGTCCAGACTTGTTTTCCATGTGGACCTGGGAACTGAAATTTCACGGGGCGATATGCGCTTGGCAAAGGCACAGGTGCCCTCCGAATCGTACCATTCCGCTTTGTGCCCATTGCGAGTCGCACCTCTTGGGTGGGGTCATTGCTCCATTTCCTCGTGCTGAGTCGGGCGCCCAGCACCCGTGATATTATCCAGAACACCTGCCACGTGTGAAGCGGTTCTCTTTTTCACTCGACCGTCTTCGATCAACATTCCTGACCATCAGATCCTCCCTTTGTAACGCGACGCGTTGGCTGGCCCCTCTCACTTCATTAGTTTCTCCGCATCTCTCCCTCTCGTCCTCTTTCATCCATCTCTCTGTCAATCTCTTCATCTCTGACCATGTAAAAATCCATTATCGTCGACCGTCCGCCGGCGCTCTCTCCGGCGCGCGCGCTGTGACCTCGCGCCCTCGCCGTCCCGCGCCGTGTTGACCCGGCGCCAGTGCGTCACTTTCGCCACGCGGTGACAGCACGCCCCGTACGTCCGTGACGCGTCGTGCCGCTCCGCCGGAGACCCGGCCCCCCGTCCCGCATACGCGGTCAATCGCCTTGCCGATGTCGACGTCGATCGGTGCGGGCTGCGCGGTTTGGGGACGCTGGCTGAGTGGGTGGGTAGTAGGGCTGTTCTTTTTGAGCTGGTCGCTGGGCGGCTGACGATACACCTCTCAGTGGGAGGCCCGTACAGTGACGCACGCTGCGGGGCGGGCGCTGCCGGGCGGCGGGACTCGGCCCACCGACAGCGGCAGTGTCGTGGCGGGACGGGATTCCGCCCCTGGAAGAACCGGCCCCGCCGCCGGCGCCGCACGGGCTCGTCGGCCGGCGCGGCTAGGGCCCAGGGCGTACGGCAACCGCTGCCAGCGCCGGGCGGCAGGAGAGGTCACTGCGAGATGAGATCCGCGATGGAAAGTCCTCAGAGCGCCGCAGACACCTATGTTAGGATTCGTGGATTCTGCGGTTACAATCGACGTTGTCTCCTTGTCTGAGAAGCGAGTGGTCACAAAGTTGTGTGACTTAAGGTCGGATCGGATATTTGCTGGAACGATCTCGACTGGCCATTTCCGTTTCAAGTCATTGTATGATGACGACATCGATTGGCTTTCCCCACGACGGAACAATGGCCACGCGGCTGCGCAGGAGCCGCATTAGCGATGCTCCGTGCGACCGGCTGCGGTTGACACACTGACACTGGGTAATTAGCACCATTCCAAACCGCAGCTGTGTTGCAGTGCCTGTTTTAAGGCTTCGAGACGCGCCGGTTGGTAGCCAGCGCGCTCTTAATTAGTGTGCGTCGCGGTCGATTGAGCTGCGCCGCGACTGCGCCAGACATGAGGCGGTCCCGGCGCGTGTGACGACGCTGTCCTCCCCGCGCTGGTGACTGTGCGCCCCTGACCCGGCCGGTGCCGAGTCGGAGCAGCACCGCCGCGACCCCTGACCCGCCTGCACGGGGCCGCGATTGGGGCCGTTGGGTCGTGTCAGGGCTCGCTGGCCCTACCCTCGACTGCGGGCCTCGGCTGGGGCGGGGGCGGGCGATGGGCGCGCTGCACTTGGAATGGTCCGGGCTCGCTCGGTCGGCGGTGGCGCGCCGGCGGGGAAGGAGGCGGCCGCGCGTGATGTCCCCTGCTCAGACGGGCTTGGGGCTGAGGAGGACGGGCCGGGCGACGCGGAGTAGGTGGGAGTGAGGGGAGACGGACCGGGAACGTGGAATCGGACCGTGGGTGCCTTTTCCCGCCGGCCCAGCCCGGCCGCGTCCCAACGGTGCCACAATGAACCTCCCACTCTCACTGGCGCTTCATTGCCGTTTTTCCCCTCCACTTGCCCTGGGACTACGAAGGTTTTTCGGCGGGCGCGCGGAGGGTTTTTGGAGTCCGTCGCTGGCGCTGATTGATGCCGACCCGGCTGTTTCTTCCTACCGGGCCTGCTGTGCCCGCCTCCAGCCACCATTATCACCGGCGTGGATTCCAACGACCGCTTCTTGTGCCGTGCATGGAGGCGTTTTTACCCAGGCGGCGCGTTTAGCGGTAGTCGACCCGTTTTGCTTGCCGATTGCCATCGCGGATAGGCTTTAAACGGCGCTGTAATTGATCGCACCGTCCGTAAGACGGTGGGGCCCGCCGGCGGTTTTTGCGGCGCGCTCGGTCGGGTCGCCGCGTC